CCCACCCCCCAACCCCTTCTTTTCCTTTCTATGTGCGAACATTGGCAGACATGATCTTCATTGCTGAGGGCAAGGTTGTGCTCTTGGCTGTTTTGGTTTTGTAATGAAGGCTATTATGAAGCTAGCAGTACGTCAAGAGCATGTTTCGCCAGGAAAGCAGAGCATGTTTTGCCAGGAAAAGCATTCCTTGTACCGTGACTTCTTTCATATCATGTAAACTTTAGGGGGAGCATGACTATTTAGTAGGCAGGGTTTTGCCTTTGGTAGCGGCAGACAGTACTCCGACCTGGATTCTCTCATTGGTATTGTGGATGGTTGTTGTTGGTGCTTACGTTCAACGAAAGCCTGATTGCTGTGTAGTACTGTTATGTGCCTTCCTGGATCGGACCCTACGTGGAATTGAACCGGTGATCTCAAGCTCAACACCCTGGTGCCTTACCACTGCAGCCATGACATGGTTCTTATTGGGCCTCAACCACTTCAGCCACGACATGGTGGTTGTCGGTGCCCGCATTCAATGAAAAGCTGGTTGGTGCCCACCTTAGGGTATCAGTTGTCGGGCAGCCGTTGATGCTTAACCACAGCTGTGGTTAAGGTGATTATCACTTACAGTGTAATCAGTTAGGGGATTCTGCAGACTGTTGAGGGTTCAGCCTCCTGATGAGTCGGTGAAACCCCGACGAAACAGTATGTCACAGCCCCTCGTTTGTTGTCCTCTTCTCCTTCTCTGCCTACAGTTTACCGGGCAGCTCTGTTTGACTATATATACCACGACTTCGCTAGCATCCTGCTACGGTTTTCTCCGGTCAGGTCGAGCGGCACTGGTTGGGGCCGTCACTACGCAGCCATGCTGTGCCTCTAGTGCCAGCGGCGTGTTTGGAGTGTATTTTTTGGCTGTGACAGACCTTTCTTTGTTTCGTGGGTGTTTTGCTTGCTTACCTTGTGATGGGGTGTGAACCGACAGTCTGTAGAGTTTTCCATTTGGTGTGGGTGAGTGATAGTCTGCTTTGCTTTTTGTCACAGATACCTTGACGGCAGTGGTTGGTGCCCACCTTAGGGTATCAGTTGTTGATGCTCAACCACAGCCGGGGTTAAGGTGGATTATCACTTAGTGTAATCAGTTAGGGGATTCTGCAGACTGTTGAGGGTCGGTGAAACTCTGACGAAACAGTTTGCCACAGCCCCCCCTTGTTTGTTGTCCTCTTCTCCCTCTCTGCCCACGGTTTACTGGACAGCTCTCTCTCTCTCTCTCTCTCTCTCTCTCTCTCTCTCTCT